ACGGTGCCGTCCCGCAGGGCTGGCGGAGCTCCGCGCCCGGCAGAACGAGCTGAGCGGGCGGATCCGGGCCAAGGAGGTGGAGCGGAGCCGGCTGCAGGCTCGGCTCGCCCTGCTCTCCCGGCGCTTGTCCGACACCAGCGAGAGCCTGGCCGGGCTCCGGTCCGCCCGAGCCCACATCGCCCGCACCATCGCCGACATGGACACGGCCTCCGGGCAGGTACGGACAGCGAGCAGCGCTCAGGGCGCTCGGTGTGTTGAGACTGGAGGAGAGCCCAAGATTTAGTGTAGTTTCTTTTTGGTCCCTGTGTGTGTTACTGCCAGGCAGGATCTGCTTGATCCCCACAGACAGGGGCAGAGCTGTTCTGTATTACACACCAACAGCTTTTCGTTTTTTAAAAAAGGATCTTCCCAGCCTTTTTCCAGATGAGTAACAATCTTCCTCTTGGTGACCAGGCAGAGTTTGTGTCAGAAATACCCCTTCCCCCATTAGCTGCTGCCTAAATTCTCCTCCTGATTGCATTTTGGATGTGACCAGCTACTGTGTCAGCTCCTCTTCTGTCCCCAGGTCGGTGCTTTCCCCTGGCCATCACTTGTCAGATGAGGCTGGAGCTGTTTCCTCGACCTCCTTCAAGACCTGATGGTTTGAAGTGAAGGAGGAAACTTACATAAAAATTTAAAAGCTTAAAAACTATGTTGTAAGGTACACAAACCAACAGCCCCTTTAAAAAGAAACCTTACCTGAGATCCAAGTCACACCCCCAGCCTGCGGATGAATTTGTTTATTGAAATGAACTGAGACAGGAGGTGGAAGAAGGTGGTGAAGAGGAGATGCTGGTGTCCCACAGACAGAAAGTAACAGAGTTCCTTTCCTGTGGATGTACATCCCTGCTTTGTCACTCCTTGCTTCCTCCGGCACCTTGTCCTGTGGGGCACTTCCTCGGCTCCTCACTTGGTGATTTTCCACAAACTCAAAGGAACAGAGTTTTTTTGGGGGGGACTATAACGATCACATTTGGTTACAGTTTGTCCACTGTGTTAAAATTTTTAACTGGTGAGATGGACAGGCAGAAAGGTCCCCTAAATATGTTGTAGCCTAGAGCATAGGAAGCAGGGATATTAGATTATGTACACAGTGAGCTAAAAATAGGAGAAAATTAATAACCGATCTAGTCTGCCATAAGGTCACTGTAGATTTAAGTTAGTCTTGAAGCCAGAAACCCAAAATGTGCAGTTGTAACAGTGGAAAAGAGTTAAGACTGGGTCTGCTGAGCACAATTCAATGCTGATCTAAAAAACCCAGGTACCAAATCTCCCTTAAAAAAGCCCCCCAGACCAACCAAATACACCCCAGAATGCTTCAGGCAGTTCTCTGCCTAGTGCTCCAAGGCAGATAAATTGCTTAGGGCCTTTCATATTCAGAATATGAACACAAACCAGAATTTCTCCCACAGATATTCCCACAGTGAGGATAATAAATCACCAGGAACTGGAGGCTGAAGGGCTGGAGAACCCCTATTGCTGCAAGGCAGATCAGTTGAATTGGAAGGGAATTCATAAGAGAAACAGTTTATGTAAAAATAAGCTATTTTTATTTCTTTCCCAGATACTGGACAATTCTCAGACATTGCTAGATCTCCTGAAGGAAGAAATGGGGGATCTTGGTAAAGCCATTGAGCCACAAAGCACTTCATTAGGACCACGAGTACGTCGACAAAAGCATTCCTAAACTTTTTCTTCAGCCTGGAAAGTCCTGTTGGCCAGAGAGAGCTGCTGTTGTGGGACAAGGATGCCACACATTTAATAAAAGCCTTTGCATTGCAGAAGTACATGTTCCTTTCAGACGTGCTTTGGTATTAGTCAGAGATCCACTAAAGCTGATCCTCAAATGCTCCAGATCAGGGTAGGCATTTACAAAAAAAAAATACCCTTCATTTTAAGCACAGCCATCCTGAGGCACATCCCAGGAGGATGGGACAGCACTCACCCTGCTCTGCCCGCAGGGAGCTGGAGGACCCGGGCAGGGATTAGGGCATGGAGCTGGGAAGTGCAAAGGAGTGCTCAGTGAGGTGTGAATCCCAGCTCCGAGGCAGAGCAGGATCACCGGGGGAAGGAGCAGAGAGCCAGCAGCACACTCTGCACTGCCACACCCCCGAGCTGTCCTGCCCACAGGGCTGCAGGCACAGAATTGGCTCCCACGAGAACCAGAGCAGTGTTGGAGCTGCAGACAGTGTTGGCTTTAGCATTCCTCATGGATCTATAGGAGAACTAAGCCAGGGCTAGTTCAGACCCCTTGTCCCTAACTTGAGTTGAAAGCAGCTTTGCTGTACCACCTGCAGTTGTGCAAGAAACAGAGCTGCCTTAAACTGACCTGAGCTTTTCCACAGGGAAAGATGTTCACTGGGACCTTTTCTGCTAGAAAAGCTCTGCTGAAAACTCATCCCTTAAATGTAGCAGTCAGCAGCAGTCTCACATTTTCCCTGATTCCACCCCAGTCTAAGCACCTTATCCTGAAGTATTTCATTAATGGGAGAAGCCTCAACACCTGGAACTCCATGGTCCTTGTGTCATGTCCCAGGCAGATGCACTGCAGACACATCCTGCTTCTGGCAAATCACACAGGCAGCAGATCTGAAATCAGCTTGGAATGGACAAGGAGGTGCAAAATGTTTCTTTGTGGCCCCCCAACCAACATCTAACAAACTACTGAGTAGCTCTTTTTTTTTTTTCTTTTTTTTTGCATTATCTTTCCAAAAGTATTTAGGCACCCAGGGCAGAAGGGAACAGCTACAAGTAGGTATGTCCTAACATTTAATCCTGTGGTTTTTTTAGCAGAACAACCTTCCCTTGCTGCTACAACAGACACCAAACCAAGTGCAAGGTATGCAAAGCATTTTCAGTTCACAGACCAGTGTCACTTGAGCAGATACCATCTATAAGAGACAAACCAGTAACCATCAAATTTAATCAAAGATACCAGCCTGTTCCTTTGGATCACACCCCATGTGGGGGTACCACTCATTCCATAAAGCCCAAAGAGGCCAGATCTGTTCTCACCACATCTCTTTTAATCCCAAAGTACAAATCTCATTAGCAGCACTGCTCCATCTGTTCCAGAGTGCAATTTTGACCCTGAGTTTACAGTAGTAGAAAACTTGAATGGAAGATTCTAGCAGAGTCCTTTGCATATTGGCTGCATTAAACAATTACAATAGAACTATAAAAATCCTAGAAAAAACAAAAATAACCCACATTCCTTGTTCAAGTTCTGCAGAAGAAAGGAGTGAAACTGCCCTCCTGTGCTTTGATTAGAGGAGCAGAGCAAGTGTGGCTTGAAGGAAGCAACCAAGAGAGATCAATCACATCTGGGACAAAGCAACAAGAGGAGCTGGCAAACTGGAGCACAACCAGCAATTCCCAGAGACTGGATGCCAGAGTTGGGAAGAACAGACCAAAGCTATGGCCAATGTTTGGAAGTCTTCAAGAGGCTCAAAACAGTCTGGACATTTTTCTACTCATTGGTGCAAAAATAACACCTAAAGCTAAAGGCATTCATTGCTCTTCCCATCCCTCCCTCAAGGTGTTCTCAGTGAACTCCACAAGCATGTAACTGGCTTTTTTCATGGCATAACTCATGGCACATGAATTCCATGATGTTTCAGTGAAACCAGAGCCAGAAACACGCAAAGGACAAACCCTCAAGCTTCAGTGACACCCAGTGTGTCAAATCACAGCCACGCTGTGAACCTGCCTTGCTGCCCAGAGCTCCAACTCCAGAGCCATCCTCCTCGGGGGAGAAGGGTTGCAAAAGCTGTCCAGAGCCTGCACAGTGCCTGGACTCAGACTAGCAGTAAGAAAAATCAACATCCACCCCAGGATTACAGATGTCCTTCCCACACTTGCCTAACCGGCAGCTGATCTTGAACAAGGAATATGCAAGGCCACAGGCAGAATAAATCAATTGCCTTGAAAGCAGTAATTGGGTCCCAAAATCCAGTGCAAATATTCTCTGAAGATGCCCGAGAGCAGGTGTTCCACCCTTGGCAGCAGGATCCGGGGAAAGCCGCGGTTTGGGGGCGGTTTGTGTGGCGGTTCCTGTCCTGCCCAGCTGAGCAGGCACCGCGGAGCAGCCTCAGAAATAGAGCGCGGGCTCGCTGCTGAAATCCGAGAGACCGCCCTTCTCCGCCGGGGTGAGCTGTGGGCAGAGCACAGGGAGACCACGGTGCTGTCAGAGCCCCTCACCCTTGGATGGTGCCTTGGCTCCCAGCCTGGCTTAGCTGGATGTGTTTAGTTAGTGCCCCCCCTCCCCAAACGTGCCCAGGAGTGTCAAAGTCCTGCAATGGTTTGGGTTGGAAGGGATTTTAAAACCCATCTGGTTCCAGCCTCGTGCCAGGAGCAGGGAGGGACACTTTCCACTATCCCAGGAGGCTGCAAGCCCCATCCAACCTGGCCTTGGACACTTCCAAAGCTTCACAGGGAGCAATTTCTTCCCAATATCTAATCTAAATCTCTTTTAGTTTAAAACTGTTCCCCCTTGTCCTATCACTTTAAAAGAAAAATAAAAAAATCAAGCTCCCTGTTTTTCATAAGCTGTCTTTAGGTGCTGGAAGGGGCTCTGAGGTCTCACTGGAGCCTTCCCTTGTCCAGGTGAAGGCCCCCAGTTCCCCCAGCCTGGCTCCAGAGCAGAGGGACATCTCCATGGCCTGCTCTGGACTTGTTCCAACAGATCCATGTCTTTCCTGTGCTAAGCACAGAGTGTGCCAGCTGCCTTCAGTCTCCTTCACAGAGCCAGCTATGGTAGTGGCAGTGTTTTGGTCCCTTGGGAGCAGTGACACAGCTCCCTGGGCAGGAACACAAACACAGGTGTGCAGGGAAAGGCACATCCTGTCCCATCCACTGCCTGGAACAAACCCCACACCACAAGAGAGCACAAGAGTTGATTATTTATAGCCTCACCATGACTTGGTTCCCATGGGCATCAGCTTCCTTTGGGAGGGGTCCCTCTGCAGCAGGACCCTCATACTTCTGCTCCTGCCACTCACTGAACTTCACAGAGTGCTTTGGGGTGTAGCTGGATAAATCTGCTGGAAGGAGAAAGATGAGGTAAATATTTCTCACCACCCCAAAAAGAAGTGAGACCGGGATCCCAACTGGGCCAGCCCACCTGCAGCTCCCTATTGATCTCCACCAGCATTTCCACCCATGTGGAGCCCCTTAAGAGTTCATGGAAAACGTGAGCAGTGTCAGGCACCACCAGAAACCCCACGGTGCCAACACAGTGCCTCACTCACCTGAGTTAGGTGTACTGGGATGCAAAGTGCTGTTTGGGCGTGGAACATAAAAGGTACGAGATTTTTCCTCCTCTGTTTCAGAAGCGTGTCCTTCCTCTTCCTCATCCTCTTCTGCCAGGGAGCTCTCTGAGGGGTACTCAAACATCGTCTGCAAACTCGTCTCGTTGAAAGAGATCTTCATCTGGGCAAGAGCAAAGGAGAATTATCAGGGAGACTCAACTAAAATTAGAGTCAAGTTCAACAGCAATCCTTGCACTAAGGATTCATCACCTGTGAATAACTGAGGAAGAAAATTTGGGATTGGCTGTAGGACTGTAATCATCATTAGGATGCTGCTGAAATGAACCAGGAATGAACAAGGCATTTCTGCTGGAAACAGGGACTGCCTGGCTCCCTCCTCCCTGTGACACCCAGCAGGTGGTGGAAGTAGCTCCAGATGTGCTTGTCCAAGCTGAGAAGAAAAGCTGAGGGAAGGGTTTGTTCCCCTGCAGCCTTGCCTGTCCTAACCATTATCTACTGCTGTGCTCCGGGGATCTGGTTACAGGTCACCTCAACAGGTGCAGAGGAGATTCACTGGCAAAAACTTCACACCAGCAAAAGTGAAGGTGGAGAAAAAGCACAACAGCTCTTTGTAAGTACTCCAGAAAATAACCAAGGAGCAGAGAACTGCTGATGCCAGCACACATCAGACAAACAAGGAGGATAAGCCTGCCAGGAGTAAGTTCTTGCCAAAAGTAGGGAAGTATTTAGCCAACACAGATCAAGGTTCAGGAGCAGCTGTTTAAAAGGGTGTTGTGATCCCTTTACTTCTAAATACAATTAAAATTCAGCTAATAGGGTTATGAACAGAATGGAAAGGACGTGGTAGCTTGTGGACAGAAGCCTGATGGTTATGATCTCTCTCTCCAGATGCTGTGTAATGACTGGCCAGGGGCAAGTGCAGCACATTTATCCCATATTTCTGTCATACAGAAAATCCCCAGAGGCTGGCAAGTGGCACCTGGCCCCAAGCAGCCCTCAGGCACCACCGTGCCCAGGGGCACCCATTCCCTGTCACAGCAGCAGCTGGAGCACTGGAGTGACACTGCTAGGGGCTGCCAAAGTCACATCTGGATGTCCCCAAGGGCCAGAGCTGCCAGCAGGTCACAACCTGTGCTGCCCATGCCCAGGAGTGTCAAAGTCCTGCAATGGTTTGGGTTGGAAGGGATTTTAAAACCCATCTGGTTCCAGCCTCGTGCCAGGAGCAGGGAGGGACACTTTCCACTATCCCAGGAGGCTGCAAGCCCCATCCAACCTGGCCTTGGACACTTCCAAAGCTTCACAGGGAGCAATTTCTTCCCAATATCTAATCTAAATCTCTTTTAGTTTAAAACTGTTCCCCCTTGTCCTATCACTTTAAAAGAAAAATAAAAAAATCAAGCTCCCTGTTTTTCATAAGCTGTCTTTAGGTGCTGGAAGGGGCTCTGAGGTCTCACTGGAGCCTTCCCTTGTCCAGGTGAAGGCCCCCAGTTCCCCCAGCCTGGCTCCAGAGCAGAGGGACATCTCCATGGCCTGCTCTGGACTTGTTCCAACAGATCCATGTCTTTCCTGTGCTAAGCACAGAGTGTGCCAGCTGCCTTCAGTCTCCTTCACAGAGCCAGCTATGGTAGTGGCAGTGTTTTGGTCCCTTGGGAGCAGTGACACAGCTCCCTGGGCAGGAACACAAACACAGGTGTGCAGGGAAAGGCACATCCTGTCCCATCCACTGCCTGGAACAAACCCCACACCACAAGAGAGCACAAGAGTTGATTATTTATAGCCTCACCATGACTTGGTTCCCATGGGCATCAGCTTCCTTTGGGAGGGGTCCCTCTGCAGCAGGACCCTCATACTTCTGCTCCTGCCACTCACTGAACTTCACAGAGTGCTTTGGGGTGTAGCTGGATAAATCTGCTGGAAGGAGAAAGATGAGGTAAATATTTCTCACCACCCCAAAAAGAAGTGGGACCGGGATCCCAACAGGGCCAGCCCACCTGCAGCTCCCTATTGATCTCCACCAGCATTTCCACCCATGTGGAGCCCCTTAAGAGTTCATGGAAAACGTGAGCAGTGTCAGGCACCACCAGAAACCCCACGGTGCCAACACAGTGCCTCACTCACCTGAGTTAGGTGTACTGGGATGCAAAGTGCTGTTTGGGCGTGGAACATAAAAGGTACGAGATTTTTCCTCCTCTGTTTCAGAAGCGTGTCCTTCCTCTTCCTCATCCTCTTCTGCCAGGGAGCTCTCTGAGGGGTACTCAAACATCGTCTGCAAACTCGTCTCGTTGAAAGAGATCTTCATCTGGGCAAGAGCAAAGGAGAATTATCAGGGAGACTCAACTAAAATTAGAGTCAAGTTCAACAGCAATCCTTGCACTAAGGATTCATCACCTGTGAATAACTGAGGAAGAAAATTTGGGATTGGCTGTAGGACTGTAATCATCATTAGGATGCTGCTGAAATGAACCAGGAATGAACAAGGCATTTCTGCTGGAAACAGGGACTGCCTGGCTCCCTCCTCCCTGTGACACCCAGCAGGTGGTGGAAGTAGCTCCAGATGTGCTTGTCCAAGCTGAGAAGAAAAGCTGAGGGAAGGGTTTGTTCCCCTGCAGCCTTGCCTGTCCTAACCATTATCTACTGCTGTGCTCCGGGGATCTGGTTACAGGTCACCTCAACAGGTGCAGAGGAGATTCACTGGCAAAAACTTCACACCAGCAAAAGTGAAGGTGGAGAAAAAGCACAACAGCTCTTTGTAAGTACTCTAGAAAATAACCAAGGAGCAGAGAACTGCTGATGCCAGCACACATCAGACAAACAAGGAGGATAAGCCTGCCAGGAGTAAGTTCTTGCCAAAAGTAGGGAAGTATTTAGCCAACACAGATCAAGGTTCAGGAGCAGCTGTTTAAAAGGGTGTTGTGATCCCTTTACTTCTAAATACAATTAAAATTCAGCTAATAGGGTTATGAACAGAATGGAAAGGACGTGGCAGCTTGTGGACAGAAGCCTGATGGTTATGATCTCTCTCTCCAGATGCTGTGTAATGACTGGCCAGGGGCAAGTGCAGCACATTTATCCCATATTTCTGTCATACAGAAAATCCCCAGAGGCTGGCAAGTGGCACCTGGCCCCAAGCAGCCCTCAGGCACCACCGTGCCCAGGGGCACCCATTCCCTGTCACAGCAGCAGCTGGAGCACTGGAGTGACACTGCTAGGGGCTGCCAAAGTCACATCTGGATGTCCCCAAGGGCCAGAGCTGCCAGCAGGTCACAACCTGTGCTGCCCATGCCCAGGAGCCCTGGGGGGATCAGAGCAGACAGGGAGAATTTCACTGCTGCTTTTCAGCAAAGCACAAGGACAGTTTAGGTCAAATCTGGGCAACAGAGGGAGCAGCTGCAGCTCCTGCACACTGCAAACCCACAGCTGGAGCTCTGTGCCACTCTGCCCCAGGGCAGGACGGCCCTTGGACACAGGCTGCTCCCAGGAGAAGGAGGATGGAGGGAACCAGCTGCCTTTCCCCATTCCCTGCCCCAGCCAGAGCTGCTCTGAGTCTCCCCAAATGACACACGAGGAGAAGAGAGATTCTATTTCAGAGAAAAGGGGTTGGAATTAAATGGTCCTGAAGCTAAGAGCATCCCAGTTGCTGCTCCCTGAATTTCCCATCCCTGCTGCTGACCTAGATGTTCCCTGATCCGAGCCAGGCTGTCAGTGCTCACAATGTGGTGACTGTCCTGTGGGGATGAGCCACTCTGCCAGAACCAGGAACTGCACACAGGCCACTGACCAGCGCTGCCAGTGGCACTGAAGGGCAAGAAGTACTTGGCTGAACATGGAAAACAAAGCAGGCAGGAGAGATATGCCTTGGAGTTTAGAATTTAAGCTTGGAAGATGGAACTAAACGCTCCTGGGTTTCTGCTATCTGGGGGAAATCTCTAAGAAAGTGACTTTGAGTACAGATTAGACCAAAGGTGCATGCAGTGCTGGAGGAGAAAACAGCCTCAGGGCAGAACAGAGCAGAAAGAGTCTGGAGACACCAACTTCCCACAGAGAGACCAGAGACAACAACAGCCCCAAACTCAACAGCTCCCACTCTCCACAGCCAACTCAAGCAATGCTGGAGCCCTTCACACAGAGCAGTCAGGCCCTGGCACAGGGCACAGCTGGGCCAAGATCACCTGCAAGGCTCACCCAGGCATGTGTGTGGCACAGGGGCACCGTGGCACCAGTTCCCCCACACCACAGGGATCTGTCCTAGGGCAGATCCCAGCCCTGCTCCCAGAGCCTGCAGCAGGCAGAGCCCAGGGCTGTTCACTGATCCCCTGGGCACACCCAGGCAGAGCAAACACCAGGCACTGGCACAGGAATCCTTGGGGCATTCAGTCAGCCCTGCCCATGGGGAGAGAGCCCCAAACCCCAAAACCTGCTGTGGCAGCACCTGAGCTCCCCTCTCTAAGCACCAGAGGGATTCAGGGAAGCACAAAGCAGCTCTGCTTGACCCAACAGAACAGGGAGGGCAAAGCATTCAGGCAAAACCAGGGGACACAGGGGGGCAGAGAAATGCTCTGAGTGGCTACAGAGCACAACTGAGCTCTGTGTGCAAGGAACAGGCAGCTTCAGTCCCAGGAACCAGCTAAAAAGGAAAACCAAGAGCCCAGTCATGGCACAGACAACAGGTTTGCACAGCCAGCAGCGCTTTGCCAGACCACAGAGACTTTTATGGGAACACAAAAGGCAACAGGGGACGTTTCTTTAGAAGACAAGCGTGTCCCAGCAGAGCCCAGCTTGCTGGAGCCCAGCCAGAGGCCTCTGCTCATTCTGTCTCAGCACTGTCTCTGCCCCAGCAGCAGCTGCCAGTTGTGGCAAGGAAGAATTTTGCACCCTTCAGCTGTGGATGTTTGCAGGGATTTGTCACTCTTTGCTCAGCTGGAGGCTTCACCCACAGCTGTGTCAGAAACCCAGGGTCCAACCCAAACTCATATATACATATATATATAAATATATATATAAATACTCTGCCCAGCAATCAGACACACTGGAAAAAGTAAAGCGGGCTTTTCAGGAAATATTGTGCTGTTCAACCAATAAGTTCTTGTTGCCATAGCAAAAATCATTTATTTATTTGCTAGGATTTGAACAGTAATGAGTAATAGAATATCCAGGAAAGAGAAGCCAAGGCAAACATTGCCCAACAAAGCGTAAATCTGAGTAGTCATGCAGATCTCATTTAGAAAAGGGAAGTCAACCTTGTGTCAGGCTGTCAGGTTCTAACACAGAACAACCTCCCAGCTGCCAGGGAGTGACAGGAAAGGTCTCTGCACAAAAAAATAATTGCTTGTGAGACTGGAAATGGGGTAGGAGCAGAGATTTTTATGGTGGACAAAGATCCCCAAAGGGTTTACCCTGCTCTTCCCATCTGACCAGTCCCACAGAGCACTAGATTTAGTAAAAGGAGACAGAAAAGCAGTTCATAATCTCCAAAGCTCTGCAGAGACCTTCAGTTTTTCACAGCAGCCTGCAGTCAATGATCTGGACAGCTCCCAGAAAAGAAACTTTCAGATAAAGGATTTTTGGGGAAATGAACCATTTTTTTGGAGTTAGCAATGAGCTTGTCTATGTGTCTGTGCTTGTCCTTTTGAAAACACAGTCATGTGTCAGCTCAAATTGTTGAATAACTCCAGACACAAACTATGTGGGCAGCCTGGAACAGCACCCTGGGGACTGCAGAAGCACCAGCACATCTCCAAGGCATTTGCTATCATTCAGCAGATAAGGAGCTTTTGTGCCTCTAAAGCCTTTCCTTGACACAGAAATAAAGGGTTTTTCCCTGACAAGAGTCCTAGGAACAGAGGGACTTGAGGCTTGGTTCCTATATCGGATTAACCCTGTACTGCTGTGGCTGAAGCATTCTAAGTATTCCCAGAAAACTGCAGATTCAGAAACATACTCTTCTGTCATTCTGTACAAAAAGAAGAGCTGGCTGTGACACCAGAGAATCACTTAATCATGCTTTTCCAAGAAGTGTTTCCTTAGACTGACTTTTGCTCAGCCATTAACTGCACCTCAGTGAGTTACTGAGTTAAGAGCACTAAAGATTTACAGCAGGAACACATGGGGGAAGCCCAGAGTGGCTGGCAAAGGAGACATTTCCTCCAGGATCACATCCCAGCTCCCAAGCCACAAGGCAAAACAGGAAAGTCTCCATTTACAAGGCAACCCACAAAGCCAGCTCTGTGTAATCAATATGCTGAAGCACATGGCAGATAGGAGCAATGCATGGAGATTCGAAATATTAAACTCCTTGTGCAAGACACTGGCAAGTTTCAAATTCCTGATGAGAAGTGACAGGGTAGGGACAGCCCCAAGAGCATGTGGGGCAGGTGCTTGGTTAACTCTTCACTGTGCTGGTCAAGAGGAGATCCCAGTGCCCACACAAGCACAGCTGGAGCCCCAGTGTGCCAGAGCACAGAGCAGCCATTCACCCTGGGAGCCCTTCATTCCTCCTCACATCTGCAGGAAGAAGAGCCAGAGCCTTCCACAGCTTAACAAGCAATTCAAAAATTACTTATTTGGCCCCTAAGAACCGGACAAATCTCCCTACTAGCACAAAACAAATCTCATCTCAATACACAAAGGGAGCAGGACAAGCAAGGTACAATTAGTGTCAAGACTTGGTGTCCTCAAAAAAATCACACAGGGCTCCCCAAGAGCAGAGGATTTCACAGGCAGCCCTTTTGTAGCTACAACAAGATGCACTGTTGGGAGCTGCCATCCACAAACATTTCTGTGCAAGCCAGACTGCCCAGAGCAGCTCACAAAAATACCTGAATTTGGTGCTGGAACGGGACCCATGGAGCATCATTCCATGGGAACAGGGAGAGGCTGGGAGCAGAATTAGTTCCCACCCTGTCAAGGAGTTCATTCAGGACCAAAAGGCTCCCATGATGTGAACAGTATCACCTGCACAAGAGTTCATGTCTCTCTTGCCCTTTTCCCCTCTCTTTTAACATGCAAAAGGAACTTCTTTGATGAGAAGCAAGTGCATCAGGCTCACCAGGAGCCTCAGGGCTCAGAGCTGCATTTCCACCGCCTGCAAGCGACACGATTTCCCTACACACACAAGTGTTTTGTCTGAGATATTTCCTACAATCTTGCAATGCCCACAAAGCAGCAGCTCCATCCTGCCAAGTTCCCAAGATCATCCGAAGGGCACTTCTCGGAAAACATCAGCACGGAATTCCTCCGGCCCAGATTTTCCCAGGATGTTTGTGAAGTGGCTCTGTGTGATACAGACACTTCATGTGACTC